CGCAGGGCACTAGTTGCCTCCTGGCTTAGCAATACTTCTCCTTCCCTAGCTCTTGTAATCAATAAATAATATATAAACTGAAGGAGAAATTAACAGCACTAGTCGGTGACACTTTCTCAGCATACTATAGAATGTAGGACTTATGGGTAGAATTTTATGGAACGTTTATCATGTCTTTTTGTATGCCTGGCAAAGTATCTTGGGTATATAATGACATAACATTGTATATTTTGTACCCATGTTTTCCCCATTTATTTCCACTGTTTTGCAAAATATTACAAAATGCTTATGGCTGCTCTCCTTGCTAACTGTTTACACTTGTATACTTTATGCACAGTTTTAAATAAAGAATTTTTTTTAAATGTTGTTGACTACTCCTATAAGAGGTCTTTCCCAATTGGCCAGAATTCTTCATAATGACTGAGGCGTAACTTATTTTACATCCATGTGGCCTAGTAATCACAAACTCAACGCTGCAAATAAACAGAATTCTTCAAAACAATGTGTCCCGGTGGGTAACTGGCCTCCTGCACTAACTGCTCCTGCACTAACTGCAGTAGACACGTAGGTGGATGGATATCTGATTATCGTGTCTTCTGGGAAATCCACTAACCTTTTCTTTAAAATGTACCCTCATTCATCATGTATTTCCATTACGGAGTCTGTCAGCTCGGGATATTTATATCTCAAGGGTAACTCAATGTTGGAAGAGGGCCTATCAATTCCAAATTACATTTTACAAGTTAGCACTGTAATACAAGGAAGATGTACTATTGGAATCTTGCTTCTAAAGGAATATTCCAAGCACCATAGCCACTACAGCGTGCTTTAGTGGTTATGGTGCCAGGAGTGCCTTGGAATCCTCCAACTGCTTCCTAAAAATTGACTTCTTACCTGGGTTCTGCTGGGCATCATTGCCTGCCTCTCTACAGCTGGAATCTCTGTTCACTGAAGCTCTCTTCATTGGCGGAGAGTCATCAGTTGACATTCTTAGCCAATAAATTGCCTGTACACCAGGTCTTCGCTCGGGAGAGCTGATGGAACCTCCCAGAGCTTCTGGCACTCATTCCCAGCTGCAAAGAGGCAGGAAGCAGTGCCAGGCAGACTACAGGTAAAAAGTCAAATCATTAGCAAATGGTTTTACTTCTTACATTGGTGGTGGGGGGCATCAGGGCACTCTGGGCGCACTGTAGTGGTTATGCTGCTTGGAGTGTGCGTTTTAGTGTGCTAACAAATAGCTGTTTATTTGTTACATGGCGATAACTTGCCCCTTATAAACACTGTCTGACTATTCATTAAAGTCTGAATTACAGCAAATTAAAATGTTTATTTTTCCAGTCCTTTCCATCCCATAGCCGTTCTATTATTATATTTCACTTTATTTTTGCAGCGTTCAGTTTACCCCTCTCATTTTGATTACTCCACCTTCAGATCCCCCCCTCCTCCCGTCGAACTGTGGACGTTCTGACAATGCTGTACATGATATAATGTTACATGATCAGGTAATCCCTGGAATTTAGCCTGACAGCTGTCATCCCCATCTCCGTGTGGGATGGGACAGGCTGTTCTCACTGCGTCTGATATATTCTCTGATAGACAATATGGCATTTCTATTTACGTGTTTATATCCCTAGCCAGAATATGGAGTATATGTATTCTATGCGTGTACAGTGTAGCAGTAATGTGAGTGACTGTTTATTGGAGTTTCAATATACCAGTTACGGGGTGCCTTGACAGATACCTGGACTTGGCCCAAAGGCTGACCTGTGGGTTTCAGTGTCTGATTCATGGACGTCTCTGAAACCTCTATTAAACAGAACCTATAGGCTCAAGAAAAGTGCAATGTTTTACATTAAAGGGTTTAACAAAACTTTTTCAAAACATCAATGTTTCACATCAAATGGTCAAAACTACAGGACCATTGCACCTAGACAACTTAATTAAGATCCTTTAATTATTGTGAAGTGACAGTGTGAAGGGTCAGTTAAATTAGTTTGCTTAAACTGTTAATTTCTTACGTACGTGCATGTCTCTTAGGGGGTTATGAGACTCTGCACTCTCTCTTTTATCTGATGTTCCTAGATTGAAAGCTCTCTCCACTTTTTACGTGTCAACATCATTTTATTTTTCAATTATTTTCTGTTTTCTGTTTCCCTCTGTATAGTGAAGATCACTGCACTACAAACTGATGGTATGATTTGTCTGAAAGGGTTAATGTCTTTTTAAACTCCTTCCATATCTAATCCTGCACCCCCTCACTTACAGTGCCCGACTTCTATTAAAAAGTGTTTTAAATCCCTTCTTGATATCCTTCATTCCAGCATGTGTGAATTCCAGACTCGTGCCAACTTTCCAGTAAAAGGCCAGAGACAAGGCACGTAAACAGATTCATAAAAATAGATATAAAGCTCTCTCTATAAACATTTGTACATGAAAAACACATGCTCTGGTGTTTAATTTAAAGAAGTTTCTATATTGGAAACAGAAATACATTTATCTAGATACACTAAGCTGTATTGTTCCTGCATTGCAGTAACCCAGCAAGGCTTTGCACAAAAGATTCACTTATTCTCTTTTACTCTTAGAAATACTATTTAAAGGAACATTACAGGGTCGGGAATACAAACATGTATTCAAACATGTTCAGCGTCTCCATACAGAACGTGAAGACGCTGAACGTCAGTGCTGCACACTGTGCAGCACTGCCACAGGAAGCACCTCTAGCAGCCATATGAGGAGTGGCCAGTGGAGGTGTCCGTAGGCAGCAATGTAAACACTTTTCTCTGAAAAGACATTAAAATGCCTGCAGGGACTGACTATACACACCAGAACAACTACATTAAGCTGTAGTTGTTCTGGTGACTATAGTGTGCCTTTAAATATTTTTTTTCCAGTTTTCTCCTTCCTGCAATGTAACCAAAATATGGTTATCCACTGTAGTCTGAATTCAAAGTGAATAGCAAAACCCAGGTGTTGTGGACTACATCTCCCTTAATGCTCTTACACCCATAATACTGGCAAAGCATCAGGGGAAATGTAGTTCACAACATTTAAGGTGCCGAAAGTTGCCTACTTCTGCTTTAGTAAGTAAACCTGACAATATTTTACTTACTTTCCTTTCAAGTTTCTTTCTCAGATTCTCAGAGGTTTTGTTTCTCTAAAGAACGAGTTGTAGGGAGTTGAAAACCAAAATGCAAAATGTAGGCTACAATAGTCAAGCTGTGAGGTTTTTTTGTTTTGTTTAGTTTTTTTGTGCTAAATCTACTGTTTTTTTTAATATAATTACATGTCTGCAGTTAGTAAATAAACCTCTTTAAACCTTGGAGTTTAACTAAACTCTTTCTGAGACTTACTCTTCTCATATTTTGTCTAGAGCAGGGGTTCCCAACTCAGTCTTCAAGTACCCCCTAACAGTCCAGGATTTAGGGATTACCCAGCTGTGTCTAAGGTGTTTTTAGAAGAAACAACACTTTAGACACAACATGGTAATGTCTAAAACCTGGACTGGTAGGGGATACTTGAGGACTGGGTTGGGAACCCCTGATCTAGACTCTAGATCAGGCTTCCCCAAACTCCGGTCCTCCAGATGTTGCTGAACTACAACTCCCATGATTCTATGAATGAAATAGATAGGCTGAGAATCATGGGAGTTAGATAGTTCAGCAACATCTGGACGGCCGGAGTTTGGGGAAGCCTGCTCTAGATCATTAGACCCATCTCACTGTATCCGTGTTAGACTTACTCTCTTCCTGTTTAATGCTCGGGACATAACAATGTATCCTGTGGTTCAGGTACAGCGGCATATGCCCTAAACCTTGCGGACAACTAAGGTGCTGTAAACTGTACCTCCCATTATTCTCTGCAAGGCAAATCTCCCCCTACCTCTCCTCCACACCCGTTTAGATTCCTAGTGCATTTTTGTATCAGTGTAGGTTACTTCATTATCTGATTAGAGAAAAAAAAAATCATGAAAACGTACTGCCTGTGTACGCACCAGGTTATCAGTCTTATATTTTAAGTTAAACTTTCAAATGTGAATTGTTTTGAAAAAAATTATATTTGAAAACTAAATATCCATCGTGACTAAATTCGAATAGCTGTTTATCTTTTATAAAAATAAAAACATAAACTAGAATCCTGGAGTTGAGGCCCCCAAGACCATCCCTAGTAGGATAATTTAAAGGTGACACCACTACAAACGGCTGTTTGCTTTATGTAATGGGACTTCACTATTATTAAAGCTCCACCAGTTCAACATTGCTGGACATAAAAAAACAAACGAAAAACCCAGTTTGATGGGTATTTCTCTTATTGAGATCCTTCCACTTTCCCTCTCTATAACTTGGGCCCTCCAACTTCTCACCTTCCCTTTTCTCTCCCTACGTACAAAACTCTTTTAATATAAGTATACATTTCAGACTGGCTCTCTCCCTATCTCAGGAAGCTCTTCATTCATTATCTCTCTTTCTCAAGCATTCTCTCGTCTATTCCAGTCTTTCTTTCAGTCCCACAACCTGTATTTATTAATTCACAATTTCATGTACCTTCCCTGTCTTGGACTGTGCCTAGCTCCTATTTTTTGTTAATACAGGGTTATTTGCTAAAGTGAGAATTCAAAATAAATTTAAAATTTAAGGTTAAAATAGCCAGACTGGAAAAATTATCTAAGTCCGCTTTGCTTTCTGTTCGACTGCACTGGACTTAAATTTTAAATTCACTTTAAATTCTCACTTTGGTGAATAGCCCTTTGTGTGTATGTTCCATCTTGGGTAATGTCTGGATTAATAGATAGTCACTCACGTCTCATCTTCAATTACGAGAGCCTGGAAATGTTTCTATTAACGGAGAGACATCCTTCATCCAACATCTTCGCCCATATCCCATTCCCCTATGTTCGTAATATGTTTTAACTGCAGCCTTCTCGACTCATCATTGCCTCCTGTCTCCTAATATCCCTCTAATCTCACTGCCCATCTCAAAATGTAAGACAAACACAGCAATAAAAGCTCATATGAATTATTTTTATTAAATTTAGAAAGTGACAATTATCATAACATAGATATAAACATATACAAATATAAATATCAAACAGTATACATAAAAATGACAAAGTGATAGCTTTGTAAACCAACTACAAAAATGTATGAATCCCTAAACGGCCCCTGAAGATGTTTATACTAAGTAACACTAGCTTAATCTCCCCAATTGGACACCTTAGGTTCTACTTTAAAAAATAGCTCAACTGACCACTCTTTCTCCTATAAAATCTTCATGCCCTTGTCCAGATACAATCCCAACTCCTCAACTTGTTCTTCTGTCCATTCAGCTCCTCTTAATCTGATGGGTAATAGGAAGGTCTAATAAGTCCTCACTAAAAAAGATTGTGTGCCCCATGTTAATATCTTTGACGCGGAGGTATTCCCCCTTTCCAGATATCAAAACTGTGATCTAATCCCTGCAATCTTTTTTTATTTGTCATTTAAACAACTAATTCCATTTTCAGCCACATACATTTCTTTTCCGATGCCCACATGTCTACAATCTCAAATTTATTTGTGTGTCAAATCAGAAAGCATATCCTGCTATCTCTCCTTAAATTACACATCCTCTACCAACGAGAATGATTTTTCTGTATAAATAGTCCATTTATTCACTGCTTGTTAAGCCACACCTGTTAACGGGACCCGGCCAGTGAATGGACTACCCCAAAATACACACATTATGCTTAGGGCTATTTTACAGAAGAAGGTAAAAAAATCGTGGTCTCCTCCTGTATGTCTTAAAGCTTAACAGCATATTCTACATAATGATTCCTGGAATCTGACGTACAACGAGAGTCATACATATCTTTTTATAAATGTTTCTCGAACATTCAATAAAGTTTTAAAATGACTTGCTAATAAATAAATTGCCACTGGGCATGAAATAATCATGCCATTATAAAACATGTATAAACAGTAGCAAACATTCTAGTGCAAACAAAATGCAGAGACACACTGCATTCTAACCGGCAATCCTAAGATTAGTATACAAGGAGGTTTGGCTGATAACCCATTCTCTCTTTTAGCCCCTTTGGACCTCTTGAGAAATGGACCTGGAGAAAGAACTTGCCAGGCCAGGTTTATCCAAATCCACCCTTGCTGGCTGCATGACTGGTGGTAGCTCCTTTGTAATTTTAGATACAGGGGTCTTGTCTTGGCACACTCCATCACTACCGCTATGACTGAGAGCCCTTTCAAAGTTGATCATGCTGCGTAGCTGGGGTGGTGTATCAATGCGTTCCATTTTGGTGATGAGGTCTGCAGGTTTGAAGATGGGTATGGGCAATGAGCGTTGGTAGGGCAGCTTGTACTGTCTTAAGCTGTGGCCCAGAGGGCCCATCTTCATTATCTGTGCTGGAGAGCGCTGGACCAGGAAACAAGTCTGACCTTGTTGTCTAAAACTCTCCCTCCGCCAAACATCAGCATCACGGGCACTGCAGCTGCAGACGGAAAACCAGCAAGACATTAGTTATGGCCATGGAGAATTCTTAGAAATTAAACATATTGACAGAAGAACAATACACAACCACAGTCATTCTACTCCAACAACTTCTTGCTGCTAGACTATTCCAGAATCCAGAAGTCTTTAGGATTTTCTATAAAAAAAAGGGCTTTTTATATAAGCCTTGTCTTATAAACAGCAGCTTTAATTTGTGCCCTTTTGTTCTAATATGTTCTTTTGTTAAGGTAAAAAGAGCTAATTTTATCCAGATGGCATTTAACGTGGTACTTTAGTCTTGACTTAAGTTCTCACCATAACTTTAAATGTTGCAAAAGTTAGCTCTGTATTTAGCCAAGAATCTGGACCTAAAACCCAGATTCAGTCTTTGCTCTTCTACATCAGCCTTACCGCTTTGCCATTCTATCGACTTATATTATTATACATACTGCTTTATCATGTGGCCCCTTTAATTGGTTATTGCATTTTGATTGCTCTCAATGTTCCTTAGGCTATAGTGAAGGGGTAGGCAACCTTTTAGTAGCACTGTGCCGATATAGGATTGTGATGTCCCGTAGTGTGCCCGTCCTATTTTTTTTAAATTGAGGTGTGTATGCTGCCGTATTCTGCTTTTGTTATTTTTACTGTAATTGCTTTGTATCATTGTATTTGTGCGTATATAAGCTATTATATTGTATATGTTCATTAGTAGTTTATGGTATCGTGTATGATACATATGAATGTGGGCTGTGTATGAGGGCTGCTTGTGGAATTGTGTGTGTGGATGGATATGTCACATTGTGTATTTGGGGGGCTGTTTGGGGTATTGTGTGTATGTGTGGGGCTGTTTGGGGTATTGTATGTGAGAGGCTGCATGTGGGGTTGTGTGCATGTATGTGGATTGTTAGTGGTGTTGCGTTTGTGGGGATTGTGTGTTGTGTGTGTTTGGGCTGTTCATATTATTTGTATGAGGGGAGGGTTATTCTGCAGCTCCGTGAATATCTAGCAGTGTGGGTGGGTTCCCTGGGTTCCAGTGGGGACCAGGCTGGCCAGGTACAGGTCAAGGACAGGAGCTGCGATAGCTGTCGAGGGCTGCTCTACTACAGTGTGGATTCCCATTCACAAGTGCTGGGAAGAAGTGATCTGAGATCACTTCCTCTATGTGCTGCAATGCATAAATTGAGAATTTTCCTTCACCACCTATTCATGTTAGTACATATCTGAAGTTTTACTGGGACTCCTGATAGGCCAGAGTGCGTTTGGTTCTAGCAGCCTTGAGTGCCGTGCAAAGACACCTCTAGTGCCGTAGGTTTCCTACCTCTGCTATAGTGTATACATCTAAGATTTACTATCTGTGTGATTTACGGCATTTGATTTGCCATGCATTGAAACGATGGCATACAACTGTGAATCTTGAGTCATGTAGACTTAAAATGTGCAGTTATCGCTCTTATCCTGACTACTAATAACTGTGAATGTACCTGCATAACAAAAATAAAAAATTATAAAAATAAAGTGCTAAATGCTTTATTGAATAATATAATACATTTGGTAGTTGCTGTAAGATCTCCCATCCTCTAACAGTCACTAATGGTCCTTCTTAGCTGTTCCAACCAGGTAATCAAGGAACTCACACTTCCAAATTGTATTAATATGCTCCCTAGATGAATACTGGGTAATTCCTAGATCAGTGATGGCTAAGCAACATGGGAAATCTAATTCGCAAACACCTAGGTTTTTTTCCGCAAATACCTGGACTATTAAATATTCTTAGAGACCAGTCTGGAACCAAATAATAATCTCACAACATTATACAACACTATATGCTAGTTCTAATAGTCTCCAGCTCTTTCACTGGTCCTGGCTCTATGCCACCAGTCTCAGACTTTTTTCCTACTACCCTTGTCTACCCACATGACTCTACCCCTTTCCCTAAAAATTCTCTACACATACATCTTCTCACAAACCGTTCCATCAACCTTATCCACCCTTACACCACAAGCAGCCTATTTCCATAGGCACTAACTTTTCTCCAGTAATTCCATCACATATTGCCCATGTCCTCACCTTTCTTCAGGTCTGCTAAACAAGGATGTGTCCACCCATTCTGCGGAGAAGTGTTCTCTGCAAGCTGTGTTGTCCTCCTTCACAAAACAGTTCAGCTCAGCCACAGGGTCGACTCCCTCACAAAGTTTCTCTGGCTTCCTCAGTACCTTCATCTTGCTGTGTGAGTGTCTTGCCTCTCGTTCAAAGGTTCTATTCCTGTGTCGTGTTCTACCATGCGGGGCTAGTCAGAATGTTTATATACTCTCGGTATGTATCTATTTTCATTCTGCTTAGTAATAATCTATATCTGAACACAGTGTCATCCTGATTCACTCCCCTCCCCTGACACCCCCTCAGTGACAACTGTCTGACGCAGTGGACACAAATGGAGCTATGTCCTTTCTCTCACAGGAACATGCTCACTGCAGCAAAATCAGGGGATGCCTTTGGTTTGTCTCATAGACTAGAGTTACACATTTACCAGCATGCTGTATATACAGCATTTCCCCATGTGTTATGGTAATACATTCATACAAGTTTCTCTCCTGACCAGGGTCAGATATACCCTAATGTCTGCCTCAAGGCTTGTATCCACCGTACATCCCCAAATATAGATATATATAAAATATGCAGAGTTTGGAACATTCATTTGGATGCATTTGTACAACTAAGGGGATAGTGGCTGTACAAGGGGGTGGGGGGGATGTGTAACGGCTTTGGTGCGAGTATAGTGTCTGTGGTGGGGGGATCTGGGCCATAGTGGCTATAGTAAGGGGGGTAGGGACTGTAGTGGAGGGACAGGGCCTAGAGTGGGACTATTGTGCGCTGGATAGTGAAGAGACAGGTGCTGTAGTAGGGGTGTATAGGGGCTATAGTGGCGGGAAAAAACGCTATCGTGGGAGGATAGAGACTATTGTGGAGTTGTTAGTGGGTATAGTGCTGTGACTGTGGGCTGACAGGGCTATAGTAGGGGAAGACAGACTATAGTGGGAGAATAGGGAAAATTGCGGGGTGGATTGTAGGTATAGTGGGGTGACTGGAGCTATACTGTAAGCCATGGCAATGCTCTGATATAGTAGAGGTGAGAGAGAGCCTCCCTCCCTCTTTTCAAGTGTGGGTCCTGCAGGTGCCAGCCGGGGAAATTCCCTTGTCGGCCTCAGCCACATAGCAGGGGAATGGGATGGCTGGTGAGGGAGATCTTTGATCTCCCCACTGGCAATGCTGCCCCTCTCTGCCCCACACCCCAAGGCTGTGGCTTTGGTGACCTTGTGGCAAATCTGGCCCTTCCCCTGACTGTGTATTAGGAGGACAGACTAAGTCAGCTTATATTTAAAGTACAGAGAGAACTGTGTGTTAAAGGCACTTTAGTGTTTAGAGTATATCCAATAAAGAATAGAAAGCCTGCTTCAACACTCTTGTGGGGATCCATCACACCCACATCAAAATATAGAAACCAAAGAAAAGGAAGAAGAGCCAGAGGCAATTCACCTGTATGAGTGGAGCTTATAGTGATATTTTGGACACCTGCCCTGTATAAGGGTCGTCTGATCCTGACTTTATGATGATATCACTTTAGAAAGGGGGGGGGACACATAAAAGGGGGTGATAGTGTAAATCTGTATAATTATTTATTGCTGTGAAGTAATCAAGCAAAATGCCAACTCACATAGTACAGAGCCTGGGATAGGATAGACTCAGATCACTTTCACTTTAGTACCATCTGGTGGTACTGTCCCCTTTAGGAATGTTGGTAGTTTTCCTCACAAAAGGGAGATATAAGAGTGGTACAATAGAGAGTGATATAGTGTAGTACTTCTGAGTTAAAGGTGAGTATACTGTGACTTTAAATGAGTGCTCACCTTATTCAGAGCCCAGGTACCTGGCTCTAGGTTTGTCAGCTTGGGTGTCAATAAAGGGGACACTTTCCCTTCTTTGAGCAGGTTGATGAGGACCAAAAGTGGACTTAAGTAAAAATTTTATTTATTTCAACCGATTGAAAAAGCCCTCAAGTAAGGTGAAACGCGTCTCGGAATAGGAGGAAGCCTGCTGACAATTTTTACTTGATTTTATTTGTTATTTATATAGATTTATTTTGTATTTTAACTTTTATATTGGTAGAATACATTCTATTTTTATCTAAGTCCACTTTTGGTCCTCATCAACCTGCTCCAAGAAGGGAAGGTGTCCCCTTTAATGCAGTGCATCCTACTGACTGCAGATTATCAGGACAGGCTCAGACAGTGCTGGGTTTATATATAATGCAGTGTATCCTACTGACTGCAGATTATTAGGTCAGGCTCAGACAGTGCTGGGTTTATATTAAATGTAGTGTATCCTACTGACTGCTGATTATCAGGACAGGCTCAGACAGTGCTGAGTTTATATATAATGTAGAGTATCCTACTGACTGCAGATTATTAGGTCAGGCTCAGACAGTGCTGGGTTTATATTAAATGTAGTGTATCCTACTGACTGCTGATTATCAGGACAGGCTCAGACAGTGCTGAGTTTATATATAATGTAGAGTATCCTACTGACTGCAGATTATTAGGTCAGGCTCAGACAGTGCTGGGTTTATATTAAATGTAGTGTATCCTACTGACTGCTGATTATCAGGACAGGCTCAGACAGTGCTGAGTTTATATATAATGTAGAGTATCCTACTGACTGCAGATTATTAGGTCAGGCTCAGACAGTGCTGGGTTTATATTAAATATAGTGTATCCTACTGACTGCTGATTATCAGGACAGGCTCAGACAGTGCTGGGTTTATATCTAATATAGTGTATCCTACTGACTGCAGATTAACAGGACAGGCTCAGACAGTGCTATCAACACTATTTATTGGAGTACAAAACGTGGGACTGTATGCAGTCGTGTATTCTGGTTTTGTGCTGCCCTAGGCATGACAAACCTCGGGCACCCCCCACCAACCTCCATATTTCTATTCCTAACATACACACGATCTCACTGATGCATGCACTGACATACACTCACTGACAGATACACATTCATTGTCAAACACACTGTTTAATCAACACACATTTTCACTGAAACATACACATTCACAGACATACACACTGACACATTCAGTTACACTCACTCACAGTTACACACAGACTCACTAACAGACACACAATCACCGACAGACACACATACACAACGACAGACATGCAAACACACTCACTGTCAAGACACACATGAACACACATTGACAGAATTCATACACACTCACTGACAGACCCACACACACTGACAGATACACACTGACAAACACACATACACACTCACTGAAAGATATATATACACTTAGTGTCAGACACACAGCCACTCAGTGTCAGAAACACACATTCCCTGAAAGATACCTATACACTAGCTGACAGACACACACTGATAGACATACACATTCACTAACAGACAAACACTCTCAGTGACAGACAATCATGGCAGTACTGCTATAAAACGACTGACAGTCAGGGGCGTGCCTAGAGTATTTGGCACCCGGTGCGAATCCTGTATATGGCACACTCCCCCGCCCCCAACTTTAACATGTAAAAAAACACCCACAATTTTTTTAACTGATTTTATTATTTATTTATTTTTAAATTCTTTATTTTTGGTTGTGCATGGGTAACAAAACGATGCCACAACAGCATATGTAAGCACAGTTATATCACAGTAAGTCACATATATGGCATTGAAGTAGTGGCACATTTTTAAGGTGTAGGTATTATAAGCAGGCGTATTTAGCTATGTCAGTGGATTGTCAACATTAATACATGAAAATTACCAGGCTCTTGCTGACATTATGCTTAGATGCAATTACATGGTTAAAAAAAATAAATAAAATGAACTAAAGTTCAGCATGTATGCCACGACAGCTAATGTAAGTTATCTAAAGTAAACAGTAACAGGTCAGAGGAAGGCTTCACAGCCAAAACGTTGGGGTTTTATTTCTCCTGCTCATGGTCAGTATACCTTTTTTAATGGGTTTTTGCATTTAGCACTTTACTTACATTGTGGTTTTGGCAGGGCCACCATCAGGGGGTGACAACCATAATAGTTGTCACGGGGCCGGCGGTCCTGGGGGGCCTGGACTGCTTTGGCAGTCCAGGGCCCCACAATTACTCTCTGCACCTATATATAGTGATGATCGCTATATATAGGTGCAGCAGCAGCCCCCTCCCCCCCTCCCCCGCTCCCTATACTTGCAGAGGGGGCCTAGCGTACTGCAGCTGTACTTTACAGCATTTCCCTCGCTCTAACTCCCGCGAGACATGCGGCCGTTAGAGCGCTGCCACGGTTTACCATGGCATCGCTCCGCGCGGCGCGCACACCACATCTCGCGGGAGTGAGAGCGAGGGAAATGCTGTAAAGTACAGCTGCAGTCCGCTGGGCCCCCTCTGCAAGTATAGGGAGCCGGGGGCCCCACAATGCCACTCGACCACCAGGGATCATGGAATCTCCCCCCTCCCTGAACCAGGTAAGAAACAGGGAGGGGGGAATAACAGTTATTACATTTACATGCATACAATACTAAACACACACACACTGCATCCACTGCACTAACACACACACTGCATTCACTGCACTAACACACTCTACATTCACTACACTAACACACACACTGCATTCATTACACTAACACACACACTGCATCCACAACACTAACACACACACTGCATTCACTACACTAACACACACACTGCATCCACAACACTAACACACACACTGCATTCATTACACTAACACACACTGCATTCACTGCACTAACACACACACTGCATCCACTACACTAACACACACACTGCATCCACAACACTAACACACATACTGCATCCACTACATTAACACACCCACTGCGCTGCATTCACTACACTAACACACGCGCTGCATTCACTACACTAACACACACACTGCATCCACTACATTAACACACACACTGCATCCACTACACTAACACACACTGCATCCACAACACTAACACACACTACATTCATTACACTAACACACACACTGCATTCACTGCACTAACACACACACTGCATCCACAACACACTGACACACACTCTGCATTCACTGCACTAACACACACACTGCATCCACAACACTGACACACACTCTGCATCTACTACACTAACACACACACTGCATCCACTGCACTAACACACATACTGCATTCATTGCACTGACACACTCTGCATTCACTACACTGACACACACACTGCATCCACAACACTAACACACACTGCATCCACTACACTAACACACACACTGCATCCACAACACTAACACACACTCTGCATCCATTACACTAACACACACTCTGCATTCACTACACTGACACACACACTGCATCCACTACACTAACACACACACTGCTTCCACTACACTGACACACACTCTGCATTGATTACACCGACACACACTCTGCATTGATCACACTAACACACTCTGCATTCACTACACTGACACACACACTGCATCCACTACACTAACACAAACACTGCATCCACTACACTGACACACACTCTGCATTCATTACACTGACACACACTCTGCATTCATTACACTGACACACACTCTGCATTCATTACACTAACACACACTCTGCATTCACTACACTGACACACACACTGCATTCATTACACTAACACACACTGCATCCACTGCACTAACACACACTGCATTCACTGCACTAACACACTCTGCATTCGCTACACTAACACACACTCTGCATTCACTACACTGACACACACACTGCATCCACAACACTAACACACACACTGCATCCACTACATTAACACACACACTTCATCCACTACACTAATACACACTGCATCCACTACACTAACACACACACTGCATCCACAACACTAACACACACACTGCATTCATTACACTAACATACACACTGCATTCACTGCACTAACACACACACTGCACTCACTGCACTAACACACACACTGCATCCACAACACTAACACACATACTGCATCCACTACATTAACACACCCACTGCATTCACTACACTAACACACACAGCATCCACTACACTAACACACACTGCATCCACTACACTAACACACACTGCATTCATTACACTAACACACACACTGCATCCACTACACTAACACACACTGCATTCACTACACTAACACACACTGCATCCACTACACTAACACACACACTGCATCCACAACACTAACACACACTGCATTCATTACACTAACACACACACACTGCATTCACTGCACTAACACACACACTGCATCCACAATACACTGACACACACTCTGCATTCACTGCACTAACACACACACTGCATCCACAGCACTGACACACACTCTGTATCCACTACACTAACACACACACTGCATTTACGACACTAACACACACGCTGCATTCATTGCACTGACACACACTCTGCATTCACTACACTGACACACACACTGCATCCACAACACTAACACACACACTGCATTCATTACACTAACACACACTGCATTCATTGCACTAACACACACACCACATCCACAACACTAACACACACACCACATCCACTGCACTAACACACTCTGCATTCACTACACTGACACACACACTGCATCCACTACACTGACACACACTGCATTCATTACACTAACACACACTGCATTCATTACACTAACACACACTCTGCATTCATTACACTGACACACACTCTGCATTCACTACACTGACACACACACTGCATCCACAAAACTGACAAACACAGCATTCACTGCACTAACACACACACCGCATTCACTGCACTAACACACTCTGCATTCATTATACTAACACACACACTGCATTCATTATACTAACACACACTGCATTCATTACACTGACACACACACTGCATTCATTGCACTGACACAGTCTGCATTCATTGCACTGACACACAGTCTGCATTCATTGCATTGACACACACTGCATTAATTACACTGACACACACACTGCATTCATTACATTGACACACACTGCATTCATTGCACTTTCTCTCTGCTATAATGATATCTTGTTGTATTTTCAATGAATTAATAAATACTCTTTTTATTTGCAAAACTGTGGTGTGCCTTGGGATCATTTCTAAATTTTTATATTATGTAATGGCACATTTACCTTAGTGGCACAAGTTGGAGAAGCAGGGCTAGGTGTAAGAGAAGCCGGAGCTACCAACTAAAAGCTTATGAGGCTTTGCGAGTGGGTTATTACATGCTGACAATTATAGTTAAATCAGGCTGAGTATGCCACTGGTGCCAACTGTATGTAAAAGAGTATATGTCACGCTAGCACAAAAAGGAACAAACGAAAAAAACAAAGCAAGAGAGTGCACATACTGATAACATTAGCTAATACGAAACTTGGTCTGCAATTGCCTGTGGAGGGGAGAAAGGCACCCAGAAATGGCTAGGCAGCACCAGCGGTAGTAGGGCTGCACAGTTGGACAAGTCTGGAGTCAGCCTATGCCCAGACTTGGGAGGCATTCTATTGGAACAAGGTAGGCGCTGCACATAGTGGCACAGTGTGAGCGGGACAAGATAATCCTCAGTCCCCAGGTTTGTGCGACTGATAGCTTCAGCAAGCCATGAGCTCTGAAACTCTGAGATTCCCGTTCTTTCCCCTTTTAGGAGTAGTGGGGGGTCTTGTTAGACTGTCGCTGTCGGCGACGGGTTGCCATCTGCGTGGGTGATGCTTCGGGGTTATGCCCCTGGCGGCCTTCTGCTTGGGCGGGTTTGCAGTAGGCAATATTAGTGCGTGAGTAGAGGTTCTGTCTGGAGGGGGCCCTCTTACCCCGCTGTCTTCCAAAACACTAGGTTAGTGAGGTGGAGGAGTGGCCATCCCCTCCACTCCGCTTGACACTGTAGGCCTCTGAGGCAGCTTGCATTGTGTGCTTGGCATTTTTCTCCAAGACTCGGTCGGACTGCTGGCACGGTAAAGGTAGGTAAATTAGGCGAGTTTGTTGTTCAAAATCGGGTGAAATACCTCTGCAATCCGTATAATTTCAGGTTTTGTCGAGGAGCCCCTATGACACACATCTGCATCAGTCGGCTGCCAAGCCCCGCCCCCCTATTTACTGATTTTATGAATATTCCTTGCACAAATTAGAAAACTGTATGTTAGAAAAAGTCCCCTCAAGACTCAATTAGAGACTACGATGGAGTCTAATGGGCCATGAAGAGGGGTCTCTCTAACTATCTGGCCCCCGTTCACAATATAGTAATATAACAGCTCTCTGATAACCAGCCCACGTTGGCTCTTGTCACCTCAATTAATTATGCTGGCAGACTGCTGTGGCTGGTTGGCTAGCTGGCAAGCATCCTTCCCCCGGCAGGCTGTTTCTCCCCCAACCACTTGGTTTGTCTCTTTTTCCTGGTATGCAGTGGTTAGTACTTAGGAAAAGTGGTGCAAGGATGGACAATTAGTAAACTGGTGTCAGGGTCATTGGATATGTTATTTTACAATCTGTGATATTGCTTATGATTTTTTTATTGTGCTTCCCTGATGAAGTTCTTGTTTGAACGAAACGCGTTGGACCTATTCCTGCACTTTTAATCTTTATTCTTATGGTGTTCTTTCACCTTTTAAGAAAATAAAATAATTGTTTTTTCTACTACTATTCACCTGGAGCCCCGTGTTCCATTGGTTGTTCTACATCGATAAGGGGAACCACCAGCCCCCTATACTATCTGGGGAGGCACCTTGTGAATGCTCTTCTATTTCCATCATCTTGTGAGTGCATCCATTTAAAGCGCACAATTTACTGTATTTACTGTATTACACTATTGTGTTTTTTCTTTATATGTTCTCTCTATAGACTGTACAGCCATATCCCATTTCTGTCTGTGGTTTTATGCATATGTAAAGATCGTTTGTTGTGGATAACGATCCTGGGAGGCTGCAGATTGATTGAAGTTAAGTAATTTACACGATCAGAGCACTGTGTTTATGGTGTTTGTTTGTTTGTCATTGGCACCAAAGGCTCTGTGGGGAGCGAAGGCTAGCACGTCTAGTCCAATCACACAGAAGAGTAACTGTAGCTCAAATGCAATGCTGGGCATGATAAAAGTGTGACAAAAACATGAATTGCGGTTTGCAGCATATGGGACTGTGTAGCCACAGACTGGTCACAGTGCCCATGATGATCCCTTTCCACCACCGAAAGTGCCTTCAATGGGGACATGAGCATTTTAACTGGACCATGCAGTAATGAAAGAAGGTTGCCTGGTCTGTTAAATCACATTTTCTTTTAGATCAGGTGTATGGCCTGGTGCGTGTGCGTTGTTTACCTAGGGATGCACTATGGGAATAAGGCAGGATAGCAGAGGCAGTATTATGCTCTGGGTAAAGTTCTGCTGGAAAACCTTCATGTGGATGTTACTTTGACACGTTTAATTTACCTAGATTGTTGCAGACCATGTACACGGCAATAGTCTCTTTCAGCAGGATAATGACCCCTGCCACACTGCAAAAAATGTTCAGGAATAGTCTCGGGAACATGACATTGATATTAAGATGTTGCCTTTGCCTCCAAATCACCCAGATCTCAATCTTAAGCATCTGTGGGATGTTCTGGAACAACAAATCTAATCCATGGAGGCCCCACCGCGCAACTTGCAGGACTTAAAGGATCTGCTGCTAATATCTTGGTAGCAGATACCACAGAACACAATGTTTTGTGGAGTCCATGCCTCGACACATAAGAGCTGTTTTAGCAGCACGGGGAGGATCTACATGATATTACGCAGGTGGTTTTAATGCTGTGGCTGAACGTTGGATGTATTCATTGGTTAGAGTACTAGATTTTTATGAAATATACAACGTACTACACTGTAACATGGGATGAACTGGCAATTGACAGGACAACTCTTCATAATCTGTCTCTAAGTTTTATGTAATGAAGATTAAAGTAACTTTTTTTATTAACCTTGTCGCTTTTTCAAACAGTCTGATTCTTTCAACCTGTTTGCAAACTGTCACTGATCAGCAGAGAGGTTGTTATGACCTTGACACCCCCCACCCAACCCACCACAAGTTAAATAAACAACGAGCCATTAATCTCCTTGACTGATTCCATGCCAGCTGATTCCATGTTGCAGAGTATGCCAATACCCTCTGGCACACTTCCCTCATCTCGCTCACACCTTGAACTCTGCTGCACGCTACTTGAGTTAACTATACGCACATAAATCCTTTTTTATACTAGTTCAGAGGTTCTATGCATTAGCATTAAACAATATCGTATAACACATCTTGCCTCCATGTTAGGGAAGGTGTTCAATAGTTGACAGTATTTAAATGAAGGCATTATCAAGTGTTTCTTATCCCATTTGTCTTAAAAAAAATAAATGTGTTGATGATCTGAGATCCATTTGTTGCAGTACCACATAAAATGTTAACTATTAAAGAGGCCAGAAGGCACTTGGTTTAGATGACAAATCTTGTTTACGGATAGAACCCTGGCCTAAAAATAGAATGCAGAGAGTAGTTGTAATTGGAAAATATTCAAATAGGACAAAAGTGGTAAGTGCAGTGCCTCTGGGTCCTGTCCTGGGTCCACTTATCTTTAATCTGTTTATAAATTATCTTGAAGTGGGCATTGAAAGTTGTGTGTTCGTGTTTGCTGATTACATAAAACTAGGTAACATAA